GAGTCTCATTAAGTGTCCAGTTTAAGGGTATTACACTGAAACATACCAAGGGAATATGAATCAAATATGTATCTTTATTCATTTACAATAAACTCATAAAGTACATCATTCTGATTGAAGCTAAGGGCATATAAAACTGTCTAACAGTTTAAAGTAACAATAACGAATTGTATTAATCATCCACTTCGGTTGTCATCGAATTGTCCTTGTGATTTTTTACCAAGCATTGCTTGTAGACATTCATTGGCTTTTTAAATGGGCTTTAATTTTATAAAGGCAAATCTTTTTGATGTTTTGAGTAAAGCATTAAATTTGATGTTTAATATAACAATAACAATTTGTATTAATCATCCACTTTGGCTGTTATCAAATTGTCCTTGTGATTTTTCACCAAACATTGCTTGTAGACATCCATTGGCTTTTTAAATGGACTTTAATTTTATAAAGTCATAGTTAGAGGTGTAGATTAGGTCGAGCCAACCATATATATATAGGGAGAGAGATTATATTAATATATATAATATGTATATATTATATAATAATTATATAATATATATAATATGTATATATTATATAATATATTAATATGTATATAAAATTATATTTTCAATTTTATATATTATTTCATATTATTATTACACATATAAAAATTGTATACATTAGAATTCATGTAAAATAAAATCTTAAGATTTTTTTAATTGTTTTGTCTATTTTTTAATTTATATTAAAAATTTCATTATTTTTCAAAAGTTTTAAAAAATAAAGCTTGGCCCATAAACCAACCCAGTCCACAACACAGTATAGGCATGCATGGGCTCGGGCTGGCCATGCTGGGCCAACCCCCTAAAGTATCTTGGGAGAGGAAAGCACGGGTTGGCTCATCCCACGGGCTGACACAATACAACCCGGTTTACACCTCTACCAATAGCCATAGCATGAAACACTACTAAGAGGGGGGGAGTTTAATAAATGTCTTAATCGACTTCTACAACTTTCACAATTTTAAGGCATCCATCTATCTACATCATAGTAGCCTCTCAAGGTTCTCCTAAATCCCTCTAAATTTTATGTATTTTTTGAATTCAAATGAACCAAAAGTTATTAGAGACATTAGTAACTCAATTGTCATTAATTTCAAGAGACTTTATGAATTCAGTTGGCATCAATTGAAATGTGCATTAACCACATCATCTAGTTTAGTATTTAATTTAATGCTCTTTCCATTACATTAGAAATCCATTTGACATAAAAACTAAGGGTCTATTTGGTTTGTAATAGGAATCGAGATCAAAATCTTTTGGAATCAAAATTATAACGGTCTATTATCATAGTCTATTTGGTTCAGACAATGAGAATGGATTTTGGAATCAATAAAAATGGGATTTCATTTTCACTGGAGGGGTCGAGAATGACCATTCCTTCAAATGGGGGAATGGAATTCATGGGTACCAAAGCAGTTTGTTCAGCAGTAAACTAGAAAGGACTTGTATGATGCATTGGTTGGTGTTCAAAAGACGTTCACGTTGAAAGCCTTATATTTAATTTATTATTCTAAAAATTAAAAAACCACAAATTTCTTAAAGGGATTGGGAACAATATAAAGAGTTTGAGGTGGATAATTGCATTTTAGAACATGTATTAGGTTAAATCAATGGTGGAGCTAGGAATTTTCAATTTTCCCTTGGGGGGTCAAGAGGTGTGGGAGAATGAAGAACGGAAAATGGAAGTCAGACAAATTTTTCTATAAGCCCAGTTTGGAAAGAATACAAATATAAATATGTATAGTACAAATACATATAAAACAATACAAAATATAAGTTTTTGCATTCTACAAATTTGTGTGGTACAAATATAAATACGTACCCTGCAAAACTTTGTATTTTATATTATTTCTATATACATTTATATTGTACGTATTTGCATTTGTACTCTTTTTCACACCAATAGTGTTAAATAACATGGGAAGTATTCTCCATCTAGAATCTAATCAAAAAGCTTGATTTTGAAGTTTCTCTTAATGTCAGTGTTAACAAATATGAACCATATACTTAACTTCTGCTGGGCTAAGAATGCATTATCCAGTTGAATTCAAATAAGTCAATTTAATTCAAGTCAACCTAAAAATACAAATACAAACAAATTAGATTGATATAGAAAAAAAAACTAAATTATAATTATAATTAAGCTTCCGACAAAGTCAAACTGAGTCATAATTAAGATCAAGAATTAATATAATTCCATCCACCACCATTTTATTTGAAAATTTTGGGGTGGGGGTGGGGGTGGGGTGTATTAGCCCAACCCGATTGTGGGTATAAGGGAGAGGCTACCCTTGTTTATGGGAAAAGTTGGAGGTTGGGAGGAAGACCCCAACCAATAACTTGGCTCAGCAAATAGATGAAATGAATTTATGAAAGGTGACAACCTCAAGTGTTGCTAAATGCTAACTGGTGGCATGAACCTTTTATTGTTATTAGCAGATTCACGGATCCATAGAACCAATGAACCATGGAAGTATAAGGTGGTGTTTGGGATCAATATCATTTTTTGAGAGGCGTTTTCTCAGAAAACTGTGCTGTATAAGCATGGTATGCCGTTTTTTCAGAAAATGTTCCCTATTTAGTAACATTGTTGTTGTTATAATAGCATTTTTCAATGCTACATTAGCACGCTATTGCTAGCAACAGTAGAAAAAGGAAAAACATAAAAAAGGACATTTTCTTAGACCACGCATTTTTTGATTTTCAAGATATGGTATGAGATTGTTTTGAAAAATGACTAATCAAACTGTAGGCGTTTTCTCATAAAACAATTATTTGATGTAGTTCTGATGTGGCACTGTTTCCTAAGAAAATAACGTCCATCCCAAACCGTACCAAATCCTTGGAAGCAGTGTTTTAAAAATCGATCTAGAGGTTGAACCGGTTTTGCCTCCGGGTTGTGGGTCACTGGTTCGATCGCTCGAACTGAATGGTTCAGGTTATGCCACGTCATCACATGTATCTGTATATAAGTATATATATTTATACACATATATATATGTGTGTATAAATATATATTTTAGCAATAAATAATATATAAATATGTTTTAGATATGTTATATGTATTCTTTATATTTAATTTATATATTTTTAATTCAGTTTTTATTTTTTTTATTTATAAAAAATATTAAAAATTACAAATTAAGACAAAAAGGTTTTTTTTTTCATGAAAATAGTGGGCAAGGTGCCTATTTTTTTTTCATGGCACCTTCGGACGCATCTCGAAAAGTTACCCAAAATAAAAAAATACCCCAATCAAACATCGGGATGCAAAATTATGGCCTCCGAAAGTTTTACATGCATTAAGTGTGCAACCCGCGACTCGGTCACCAGGTCGAATGGGTCATCGATTGAATTGGCCGGGTTAAATGATTCTTGACCAAGTCAATGGTTTTTGACCATTTAACAAGTCTTAACTGAACCAGACCCAAAATCCTGAATGGGAGACGGTTTGAACAGTTCGACCAACTAGGTCAATAACGGGTTGAAAACATTGCCTCGGAGTACATGGGAGTACCAGTAAAGCCGTGAATATATCCAACGTTTCAAGCTGTTTTCCACCGTTTCTTGAGGAAACAATTGGGAACGTTGCCAAACAGGGCGTAAACCTCTATCGTATGGTGGATCTATTTGAATGGTGGGTCCCGACTCCGCTCTCTTTCACCGACACACACCCAAGCAGCTTGAAGAGTCGGTTTGAGGTCATTTTCGTCAGTCACATTAACATGATGCGTGGCCACGCAGCAACGGGGAAGTGAAATATTGTTAATTACGGCAGGGTATAATCGTAATATTATCTCAATCACAGGGGCAAATGAAAAACCGGTTTCACTCAGATATCTCGCGTCGTATATAAGCTACATACCAAACACGCACGTACAGACGAACACACACACACTCATTTTTTTTTTGAACTCGAAAGGCGACGCACAGAGAAAGAGCGAGCGAGAGACATAGGCAAATTCCTCTGTGTGGCTTCGGCACTCTTTGCGGATTTTTTTTTGTCCAAATCGAGTAGGGAAGAATGAATCGGCGAGACGATCCGAACCCCTTCGATGAAGAAGAGGTCAATCCATTCGCGGTAACTACACTAGAATATCTCTGTTGCTCCATGTCTACAGTTTGTCCGTGTTTTCCTTCTCTTTGCCCCATCTACTTTTGATGTAGTTCTATGTTGTAAATCTCCATTTCTGTTTCTTTGATCTGTATGATGTGTTTGATTCATGGTTTTGATCGAGTCTTTTGGCGAAGCTGGTTGGATCTGGATTTGAGAACGGTGCTTTATTAGTGCTGCTTCAGGGAATTGGAGTTCTTTGAGTTTGGGCTCTCTTGTAGTCCGTCAAAGTGATATGGAAATGAACCGAACAATTAATGGTTGATGAATTCGGTATTCAAGAAATGGCTCACTTTGAACAATTATAACATATCTGTAACTCTGTAGTTTTGGAGTTGTAATAAGTAGGAGCACTTTTGGTGTAATTCTTAGTGTTGTGGTTGAGGTTAATTTCGATTTTCACATCCACTGTGTTTTTCTTGGTTGTCACAATTCCTTGAATTTTAGACTGTTTTGCCGTTTGTTGGGCAAACGCTCGGTCATTAAAACAAGGTTCCGTCATGACCATTTTAATTGTGACCTCCTCATAATAGACTTAGCGGAAGGTCCAAATTTCTGTAGTTACACTAGTTTGCACTCCAAAAATTTCAGCAGAGAATTACTTTTTTTTTCCTCTGGGGTGCTTAATAGTGCTGAATGGCAGAGCAGAATTGATGTAGGCGACCCATATAGCCGGGACAAGGCCTTGTTGGGTTGAGTATAATATTTTTGGCTTTTCACTTTGTCCTTTTTGGGTTGTCCTTTGCCAGTTTGGAGGAAAAATGCTATAAATTATGAGTTTGTTTACTTAAATGGGATGGGCTGAGTTGAAGATAATTGTAGTTAATACATTAATAGGATTGTAGATATGCAGTATAGAAGGGAAAAACTGGATAAAGATATGAGCTCTGGTCAAGTAGACTTCAATTGACGGGGGAGTAAAATTTCAAATTCAATCCCAGAATAGAAAAAAAAAAGAGTTCAGAATTTTAGAAACAGATGGTTCAGACTCCAGAAAAAAAAATACTTGAAAGGAAATACAATAAAAGGACCATTGTCCAATGATGGTCCTTGCTATATGGAATCTTGGGATGGTTGGATTGATATGAACAAGCCTTTTTTTGTTATAAGTGGTTGCTATGAGATTCAAACCTGTGTTCTCACAATTGTCAGCCTGAGATTTTATCAGTGCATCAAGCAATGACCCTTTGAGTGGAACCACAATAAACAATATAACTAGGGTGGATAGTCAGACATCTTTTCTTGATTCACAGGCATTAAACCCTGATTACTTGTAGTTGTAAGACTTATAGTATATTTACATCTGTCCCTCCCCAGACCCTTCATTGGTGGGAGTCTCGTGCGCTGGGATGCCCTTTTTACATTTTTTAAAAGTGTTAAAGTGTTAATGCTATAAAGCACATTTAGTAGCTTCTATGCAATATCTTGTATTGCATCCAACAACAGTAAGCTAGGCATATACAAGTATCTGTATATCATAGTTCTTGGTTCTGAAAATAGTATAACATAATCATTTCTTTGTATGCTTTATTCCTTCATTGTACACATAAAGCATGAAGTTTGAAGAGAAGTTTTATTATAATTTTGATGTGTTCAAACAGTCTCTATCCATAAAGGAATAGTTTGCACCTTTCAAGCTTCAACTTTGAATTGTTAATTTTGAACCTTAATGACTCTTTACTTTGACTCAGCTCAAAACAACTAGAAGCTATAATAACGTAAGTTTGTGAAATAAATCAACTGAAAATGACTGATTCTGTATTCTTCAGAATGTATCATATTGGAGCATTGAAGTGAATGCAAACCTGTATATTGACATTATCTTTTGCTCAGATGGGGCATGATACCTAATGTTTTTAAAACTGATCTGGAAAAGGAGCTGCTTTTCCATCTGGGTGGTGGGTCAGCGGATAGGGGTGCAACTTTGGCAGGCTTGGGTTGGTAACTTGGGATTTTGCTAAAATTTGAATGATGCCTAAAGTAAGCTTGAGAAAAAAAACTAACACAAGCTTGAGAAAAAAACCAACTGAAAATGACTGTGAATTTGTATTCTTCAGAATGTATCATATTGGTTATTGGAGCATTGAAGTGAATGCAAACTTCTATATTGACATTATCTTTTGCTTAGCTGGGGCATGATACATAATGTCTTTAAAAGTGGTCTGGAAAAGGACCTGCTTTTCCATCTGGGTGGTGGGCAGCAGATAGGGGTGCAACTTGGGCAGGCTTGGGTTGGGAACTTGGGATTTTATTAAAATTTGAATGGGCCTGGCCCATAAGCCCGAGTCTGATGAACTGTAAAATATTCAAATTGGGTACCCAACTTGAACCCCTATCAGCAGTTAAACTGTCTAAGTGTCTAGGTCAAACAGTCAATTTGTGATGTGGTAATTAAATAATAAATATATAAAAATAGAGAAAAATTTAAAATTACAGAATATTTGTAGAAAGCAATTTGGGCATATTTGTAATATTATATATTCATCTATTAATTGTTTCCAATATTATTTTTTTATTAACAATGAAAATCACTAAATATGCCAAAAAAAGGAATAATAGAGAATTAAACACAATAATTGTTACCAATATTATTTTTTATTAACAATGAAAATCACTAAATATGCCAAAAAAAAAGGAATAATAGAGAATTAATGCTTGACCTGTGATCCACTGACCCAGGACAAATGTTTCAGTGTTTCAACCAGCTGGGTTGTTGGCTGAATCAATATTTTTTTAGACAAATGATTTGGTAGTGAAATAGATCCGAAATTCTGGCAGGGTGACAGGTTAATTGGCCTGACTAGTAGGTTTGACCATAGAGGTTAAACATGGAGATACTACCTCCTTATTGTCAACCAACATCTTCTGTATGGGAAGACCCTAAGGTTCATCAGTATTTTGGACAATAAGTTGCCTCCCATGAGCTGTAAGTTGATGTTACCAATAAGGGCAGACTGGTCTATGCATGTACACATGCACCTTGAGACTTTCATCTTAGGATGAAAGCACACAAGAGAGAATTGGGAAAAAAAGGAGCTGATGGATGATCTAAAAGTTAACACCATTTTGGTAATTCTGGAGCATCAGATATATGTGCTCTTAGAGATCACAGGGGGATAATGTTTACTTTATTTTCAGGTCCTATTGGGAAAGGGAACTCCATGATGTCTGAGTTGTTGGCAGAATTCTAATACTTAAGATTGGCAGGGACTCCAAATTTGAGGAAACTTGTTGTGGAGGGAAACTCAAAATTTATGTTGGAATGGCTGCATCACAAAAAACAAGGCTCATTGCAATATTGGAACTAGAACTATATGAAGGAGCTGTGAGCTTTAGCATAGGAATTGCATGTAAGTTTTATTTAGACCAATAGCTCAGCAAATGTGCTGGCTGATGCCATGGCCAGACAAGTGGTGAACATGGCATATATGTTTGGGGGTAACCTCCAACAAGGTACTAAATGTAAGGGGAGCAGCAAATGCCAGCCCCACTGGAGGGATGCACGAAATTTTATTTCTCTTGGGATGCTTGGCATCTTGTGCATAGTTATTCTTTACGCAATTAATAAAACTCTCGTAGTTATCAACTAAAAAAAACTAATGCAGTCGCACGTATTAACAGCTGAATCTGAAGTTTGGTTGATTTCTATACCTACAAATATTTTATAACTTAATTATTTTATCCACTGAAAGACAAATCAAAAAGTCATTCAGTCCATCCAGTTCAGCAGTTATCAGACAGCCCCAATCCATCTTCAAACACATTCCCCTCAAAATAGGAAGTAAATTTGAGACCTAAGCGAAATTTGAGCAATATTGTCTGTCCTGCCCTATTCCATTCTTGAAGAAGGTTTTGTTATTAGTTAATCAAGTTCATCTTGGCTGAAAGAGTTATCCTTTTTTTTTTTTTTAATCTTTTGAAGGACTACACCCATCCCCCAGCCCATCCTGATAAGGCAAAAAAAAGAAGAAAAAAAGAATGAAAAAAAAAGTGAATGTATTCTGTTTTGCATGTTTTTTGTAGTAGGATACCAAATTATTGTTTTTCGGTAGCTTTATTGACAGTTTGGGACCAGGGGTATTTTCACCATTTTATAAGTTAGATTCTGGTCAGGGGCAGTTGGGTGCATAACTATTGGGTTTTGGTCTCTTGGGTCTTTTTGTAACAAAAGTTATCTTTTGGGGGTTCATTTGAAGTTAGTTTTGTTCTTAAGGAGTTGCTTGTGAGAGGGAAGCATTCTAGGGGCTTATGTGTAAATATTTTAACTGGCTTATCCGGCAAGCAAATGGGCCTTATAAAAGAGAAGGGGGCTGTTTCTATAGGGGTCTTTTTGGTTCTTTCTCTCTTGTTTGAGCTGTAGCTCAACCCCAGCTAGGGTTTTCAAGCATTGGGAGCTTGGGTTTTGAGGAGTTGACCCATTTTGGCACCTTCCAATCCCTCCATCACTGCGTGTCCACGCGAGAGGCCAGCTTGCTGCCATTGTTACTGTAGTGAAACTGTTCCAGGAAGAGTTTTACTTCAGGTTCGGGTCTGAAATCCCTAAAAATCCAACTTGTTTGTTGTTTCAACTTGGTATTTCTTGTGCTTATTGCTGTATACTTGAAGTTGAAGTATTGCATGTAATTTGTTTTTCTGTCCACATCAAATGGTATCAGAGCAAGTTCTTTCCTTGGGTTTGCTTCAAAGTTCATCTCCTTGTTGTGTTTTGCTATATTATTATGGCTGCAAGTAGGGGTGTCAATTGGATTGGATTTGGTCCAATCCGATCTAGTCCAATGTGAGTCCATTATAAATAGACCAGATCCAATTCAATCCAATGAATGTTTTGGACCAATTTGGACCGGTCCAATTCAATGTCTGGACCATCTAATCTATTCAAATTCATTTTGATTTAGATTGATTTCAACCCAAACCCGGTCCATTGACACATATATTCTTATCTTATACCAATGGACCAGATATTGACT